GTTGCTCGGGTGGATTTAAACTAGTAAGTGGGGGGGAGAAGTGGGCCCCAGGGAGATAGTGAAGACAGAGAGCAGTCTGAGACTGATACAGTTGGTAAAAGGAGTTAGTCAAACAATCAGGGCAGGCAGCAACAAAGCAGACAATGAGGTAGGACTGATAAATTAAACTGCATTTATTTAAATGCAAGAGGCCTAACAGGGAAGGCAGATGAAGTCAGGGCATGGTTGGCAACATGAGACTGGGATATCATTGCAATTACAGAGATGTGGCTCAGGGATGGACAGAACTGGCAGCTTAATGTTCCAGGGTATAGTTGCTATAGGAGGGATAGTAAGGGGAGCAAGACAGGAGGGGGAGTGGCATTTTTGATTTGGGATAACATTACTGCTGTACTTAAGGAGGATATTCCTGGGAATATGTCTTGGGAACTTATTTGGGTGGAACTAGAAATAAGAAAGAGATGATCACCTTATTGGGATTGTACTTCAGGCCCCTCAATAATCAGCGGGAAATTAAGAAACAAATTTGTAAGGAAGTCTCAGTTATCTGTGAGAATAGTGGAGTGGTTTTGGTAGGAGATTATAATTTTCCAAACATAGGCTGGGATTGCCATTGTGTTAAGGCTTGGATGGAGAGGAACTTGATAAGTGTGCACAAGAAAATTTTCTGATTCAGTATGTGGATCTACCTACTAGAGAAGGTGACCTACTGTTGGGAAATAAGGCAGGGCAGATGACTGAGGTTTCAGTGGGGCTGCACTTTGGGGCCAGTGACCATAATAATATTAGTTTCAAAATAGTGATGGAAAAGAATAGACCGGATCTAGAAGTTAAAGTTCTAAATTACAGGAAGGCCAATTTTGACGATATTGGCAAGAACTTTCAAAAGTTGTATGGGGGCGGATGTTCGCAGGTAAAGGGATGGCTGGAAAACGGGAAGCATTCAAAAATGAGACAACAAGAGTCCAGAGATAATATGTTCCTGTTAGGGTGATGGACAAGGTTGGTAGATGTAGGGGATGACTAGAAGAGTATGAAGGCAGTAGGAGTATACTTAATAAGGAAATCAGGAGGGCAAAAAAGGAATGTGAAATAGCTTTGGCAAATGGGGTTAAGAAGAATCCAAATGGATTCTACAAAAACATTAAGGACAAAAGGGTAACTAGGATGAGAACAGGGCTCCTTAAGGATCAGCAAGGCCATCTATGGGTGGAACCACAGGACATGGGGGAGATACTAAATGAGTATTTTACATTAGTGTTTACAGTGGAGAAGGATAGAGAAGATTGAGAACATGGGGAAATAAATAACAATATCTTGAAAAATGTCCATATTACAGAGGAGCAGTTGCTAGATGTCTTAAAATGCATGAAGGTGGATAAATCCCCGGGACCTGATCCGGTGTACCCTCGAACTCTATGGGAAGTGAGGGAAGTGATTGTTATGCCCCTTGCTGAGATATTTATATCATCAATAGCCACAGGTGAGGTGCTGGAAGACAGCTAACGTTGTGTCACTATTTAAGAAAGGTGGTAAGGGACAGGATTTACATGTATTTGGAAAGGCAGGGACTGATTAGGGATAGTCAGCATGACTTTGTGCATGGGAAATCATAGAATTTTTTTTTCATAGAATCCCTACAGTGTGGAAACAGGCCATTCGGCCCAACAAGTCCACACTGCCCCTCTGAAGAGCATCCCTCCCAGACTGATTCCCTTTATTTCCCATGTCTATTTCACCTAACCTAAACATCCCTGGGCACTTTAGCATGGCCAATCCATCTAGCGTGCACATCTTTGGACTGTGGGAAGAAACTCGAGCACCCAAAGGAAACCCACGCAGACACAAGGAGAACGTACAAACTCCACACAGTCACCCGAAGCTAGAATCGAACCCAGGTCCATGGCGCTGTGAGGCAGCAGTGCTAACCACTGAGCCACTGTGCCATGTCTCACCATGTCATGTCTCACTAACTTGATTGAGGTTTTTGAAGAAGTAATGAAGAGGACTGATGAGGGCAGAGCAGTGGATGTGATCTATATTGGCTTCAGAAAGGTGCTCGACAAGGTTCCTCATGGTAGACTGGTTAGCAAGGTTAGATCACAGGGAATACAGGGAGAACTAGCTATTTGGATACAAAACTTCAGAGTTAGAAGACAGAGGGTGGTAGTGGAAGGTTGCTTTTCAGACTGGAGACCTGTGACTAGCGATATGCCACAAGGATTGGTACTGGGTCCATTGCTTTTTGTCATTTATATTAATGATTTGGATGTGAACAGCTTGTCTACTGTCACAACTCAAACATCCAAATAGATAAGATAAAGCTAGGCCAGTTCAGTGACTGAGATTCAGATTGTTTTAACACTGGTTGAAGTCCAACCCTGGGGAAATGGGGATGTTTGTTTCATTCACAGCTCAAGGTGGTAAATGTGAAGTTGAACTGTACTGATCTTAATTAAATGCACCATTAGCACTAACAGTTTAACATTTCACACCTAACTATGCAGACTTTTCAAAAAGCTTTATCTTCGTAATATATTCCTGCAGCAAGTGATTATTGTGTTTCAGATATGTAGTTAGGATAAATGAAGGAAAGATAACTATGAGTTGAAGATAAGGATGATTAAATGTTTCAGATATAATTGGATTTTAATGCAGATACAACCAATCATTTAGCAGAAACAATCAGACCCTCAGATCCTTATGTTGTCAGAGGACAAGAATATTAAAACTTACACTTTGTGCTTTGAAAAGAGACTAGAGAACATATGCTTGGTTTTATTAGTAGTATCTTTATATAGAATGGGCTCAGCAAAGCGATGGCGATTAAACGCATTAATGAAGAAAACCAGCGTAGAAATTTTTCCTTGCACTCTGGAGATAAGATACAACTGTTTGAGGACAATATGCCATGTTGCTAACTATGTTCTGTGTTAGATCTAATGTTATGGAGGGAGATGAACCTATTTGAAACTGATGTAACATCTGATGCTGAACCTAATCTTGAGATTCTTGAGATTTGCATCAAATAACAAAATACTACGGTTGTTGGAAATGTGAAATAAAAGCAAAAAAAAATTGGAAATACTCAGCAGGCCAGATTGTGGTGAGAGACAGAAGCAGAATTAATGGCTCTTGATAATAACGCTCCTACATTACCCACTCCCCCCCCCCCCCCCCACACACACACACACACACACACACACAGAAGCAGTGGTGGTATATGTGTGTGTAGGGGTCTGAGGGAGTGGTTTAAATACCCAAAACTATGAGAAATGTGTTCACTGGTCACTGTCAGTGGGTAGCTGATCCTTTTCCGTGAAGGTGGCTGGTGAGGATTGTGAGTCTCAGACAGGCTGAGACGTCACTACACATCAGGTTCCTGCATTGTTAATGAGAGCATGACTTAAGTTTAATAGCTGCTGCCTAGATGACACAGAGCTTGGGATAGCAGGCAGTGACAGGGAGATGAGAGTTTCTAACTCCAGAAGGTAAGTGCCTTTGACACCCTGGAGGTCAGGAGGAACAGGATGAAAGATTGTGGTCTGTCTGTCTCTCTCCCTCCCATTGCTGTGATCAGAAAAGAGCTGGAGATAACTTATCTTGTTTCTCCCTTAACTGGAACATAGGAACAGGAGTAGACCATTCAGCCCATCAATCTGCTCCACCATTTAATACGATCATGACTGTTTGAACACATCATTGCTTTTTACCCACATTATCCCATAACCCTTCATGCCATTTGTAATCAGAAATCTACCAACCTCCACTTTAAATATACTCAAACACTGAGTTTCCTCTGGGATAGAGATTTTCAAAGAGTCACAACCCATTGGATAAAAAGATGTCTCCTTATCTTAGTCCTAAATGTTATCCCTTTATTTTTAAATTATGCCCCTGGTTCTAGGCTTCCTAACCAGGGGAAACATCTTACCTGCGTCTACCCTGTCTATCTCTTTAAGTATTTTGTAGTTTTAATGAGATCACCTCTCATTCTTCAAAACTCTAGAGAATACATGCCCAGTTTGCCCAACCACTGCTCATAGGACAATCCTGCCATCCTGGTGGAAAATCTGGCAAAACTTTTACATCTACACTTTCCAACCTCTTATCATTTAAGAAATAAGGTGAGGTGACAGTAATAGCTCTTGAGATGAAGGCTGCATTCAACCAAGTGTGGCATCAAGGATCCCTAGCAATGCTGTAATCAATGGATATCAGGAGGCAAACTCTCTGGTGGTTGGAGTCAGACTTGACACACAGGAAAATGGTCGTGGTTGCTGGAGGTCAGTCATCTCAGCTCTAGGATATCTCTGCAGGAGTTCCTCAGGGAGTATCCTAGGCCTAATCATCTTCAGCTGCTTCATCAATGATCTTCCCTCCATCATAAGGTCAGAGGTGGGCATGTTTGCCTATGATTGCACAATGTTCAGCACCATTCGCGACTCCTCAGATAGGTAAAGCACCTTCCAAACCCACAACCACTTCTATCTAGAAGGACAGAGGGGGGAAGATATATGGGGCCACCATCACCTGCAATTCCCCTCCAAGCCACTGACTTGGAAATATTTCCCCATTCCTTGAATATCGCTGGGTGGAAATCCTGTAATTCCGTCCCTAAGGGCATTATGGATCAACCCACAGCAGTTCAAGAAGGCAGTTTACCAATCCCTTCTCAAGGGCAACTAGAGATGAGCAATCAATCCTGGCCAGCCAGTGATGCCCACATCTCATAAATGAATTAAAAAAAACCTGCAGATCTGTTCCTTCCACAAAGTAGATAACCCCACATTTTTCCCATATTATATTCCATTTTCCATGCTCTTGCCATCAAATAAGCCTGCCCAAATCCTCCTGTACACTACTGTACACCTTCCTTATAAGACATATTCCCCACGTTCAAATCATGATGTATATTGTGAACAGTTGGAGCCTAAGTTCTGATCGTTTCAATACCCCACTAGTCACAGTCTGCCAATGAAATATTTTTAAAGTATAATTTAAGAACTTAAATTGTGACAACGTTCTGCAGAATAATCTTTCCTTGCAGCTGCCTTTCTCATTACTACCAGTACATTGCTGAATTCTTCTCTCTTCCTATTCATACAGATGTGAGAACCAACTCTTTTGTTGATGAATTTGAGTGCACACTTCTCTTTAAAGACATTCAGAAATTCCAGTGCACACCTTTCATAGGGAGGAAAACCACAGTCCTCAGGAATCAGATCTCTGACAAACTTGGTGTGCTTGGTTTGGTACCCTCTACTATGGCACTTCCTTGGGCCAGTCTCATTCTTGGTGACCGAGTGACCTTTGCGCAGGTCACCTGCCATAGGATATCTATTGTTATTTCTACAGCTCACAGCCTGCCAATGAGAATGACCCATTTGCCCCTACTCCGTGTAGTCTTCTTAGTCACTCCTTAATCCCAATATTTTAAGTTTGTTCTAACCCTCTAAGCCTTCTGAAAATTCTGAAATATACTACCTCCCACTTATTAATCTTATTAGTAACATCCTGAAAAGTATCGCCACCAATTTCATCAAAAACAACTTTTCATATAAAAATCCATGCTCACATTAGAGTCATACAGAACAGAAACAGACCCTTCGGTCCAAACAGTCCATGCCGAACATAATCCCAAACTAAAGTAGTCCCACCTGCCTGTTCCTGGCCCATATCCTTTGAAATCTTTCCTATTCATGTACTTACTCAAATGTTTTTTATATTAGTGAAATATAATGACTGTAATAACACTATAATAAATCTTTAACTAAGCTTGCAAACCCAGGTGCAGCTGCAAGATCCACACTGCACAACCCTATCCACATACGTTGCCCCGCTCTTAATTAGTGGAGTGACATTTAGTTGTTTCCAATCTACAGGAATCATTTCAGAATCAATGGAATTTTGGATCATCAATGAATTGACTACCTCTATAGCCACCTCCTTCAATACTTTGGGATGTTTATGATCAAGTCACGGGCAATTATCAGCTTTCAGCCCCATTAAATTCTCTAGTACAACTTAGTTACTAAAACTCAATTCTTATTCTTCCTAAGATCACCTTGGATTATCCCAAAGTACCTCGTACCATTGGCTTTCCTGCTTATCAATATGCCCACTGCCAGGGTCAAAGAAACAAAAGGTGACAATGTCCATGTACTTTCCTGTGGCCCTTCCCACTCTTGTTACTGCTTATATCCTTTCCTTTCCTGATCTCCCATACCTCTTACTCTCCTTATCATTTTCTTCCTCGCTGTACCTTCACTTTTCTATGATTCCCCCCATTTCTTCTCCTTCCACCATTCTCTACTCTCCCTCACTCCCTTTCCTTTCCCACTGCAGCCCCATCCTCGTCCACTCTCTCTCCTGTACTTTACTTGCTACTTTCTTCTCTCACACAATCTCCCACACTCTCTGCTACTCCTGTACTTTTCCTTGCTTCTTCACTACTGGTCCCATCCTCTTCAGTTACCTTTAAGTGTTATATTGGACTTGAAACATTAACTCTTTTCCTCTCTTTACATGTTGTTTCTAGACCTTCTAAGATTCTCCAGCAGTTTCTGTTCCCACTATTTATTGTTTGACCATTGGTAGCCATGGCTTCAGCTGCCTGGTCCCTAAAGTCTGGAATTCCCTCCCTAAACCTCTCCATTTCTCTGCCTCGCCTTCCTCTGTAAAATGGTCCTTAAAATCTAATTCTCTGACTAAGTTTTTGATCCCTTGCATTTGTGGCTCAGAGACACATTTGTTTAATAACACCATTGTCAAGCACCTTTGAACATTTCATTACATTAATGATGCTAATAATACACAAGTTGTTGTTTACAATAGAGAAATGAATAAGTTAAAGCAGGATCAAAATTTTCCTTATAACTTAAGTAGACTTCAGAAAAACCTTGTTCAAAATGGCAAAGCTGTCTGGGTCATAGGAATTCAAGGACGTCATTCAGCCCCCCAAAGCTATTCCACCATTCTTTTGGTTCATCTGTATTAATTAATTCTACCACTCAGTTGATTAATCTGTATGTCAACTCCACTTACCCTCCCTTACCCAAATTTCACAATATCCTTACTCAACAAAAATCTATTGATCTCAATCTTGAAAATTTAAATTGGCATCCAGCTTCCACAGTAGGAGAGGTCTAGATTTCTAGTGCGCTTTCTGTGAGAAAAAACTTCCTGTTCCAATTCTAAATTGTCTTGCTCTACATCTTCCTTGTTTGGATTTTCCCACCAGAGGAAACAGTTTATCTATTTTAACAAATCTCTTTGTCAATTTAACATCAGACTACCCACAATCCTTTCAAACTCAAAAGATCCCAAGCCTAGTCTACATGGCCTATCCTCAGAAACTATCCCATTCCATGTTGGTGAATCTATACTGCTTCCCAACTACCTTTCCTGAGTTTTGGTATCTGGAACTGAGTGCAATTCTCCATGTAGTATTTAACCATGTCTTTTTGAAACACAGTAAACGTTTTGAATTATAACTAAATTAAGGTATATTTCAATACTTCATTGGTGTGTTTCATTTTTTGAACCTGGTGCCAAAGTAAACAGTAGCACCGGTGTTTTATTTTTGGTCCATGTGAGAAAGTTTGAGCAAGCACGTGTGAGAGAGAATGTGAGTGTATCAGTGTGCATGTGTTTGAGTCTGTGTATCCATGTGTGGGTGTATATGAATGGATGACTGGGTGCCATTGAGTGATTGTGAATGAGTCCAACTGAGTCAAAAGTACATTGACAAATTGGTGAAATGGGTGGCAGATGAGGTTCAACGCAGAGAAGTGTGAGGTGATGCACATTAGTCAGTAAAATGTTGAAAGACAATACAAAATAGAAGACACTATTCTAAAGAGGTTGCAGGAGCAGAGAGACCTGGTGCATATGTGCACAGGTCATTGAAGGTGGCAGGACAGGTGAAGAGCACAGTTAATAAAGCTTACAGTGTTCTCAGTTTTATTAATTGCGACATAAGCACATGTGCAGAGAGGACCTGCTGATCCTGTACAAGACACTTGTTAGACCCTTAGCTGGAGTATCATGTACAGTTGCAGACACCACATTATAGGAAAAATGTGAATGCATTGGAGACAGTACACAAGGGATTTGCAGGAATGGTTCCAGGAATGAGAAACATCAGTTGAGGACAGGTTGAGGAAGTTGGGACTGTTGTCCTTGGAAAGAAGAAGGCTGAGAGATCGATAGAGATTTTCAAAATCATGATTGGGCTGGATAGATAGGGAGAAGCTGTTCCTGCGTGTAAAAGAATAAAAAGGACAATGATTTAGAGTGATGTGCAAAAGAAGCAAGGGTGATGTGACAAAAACAAAACCTATTCATGCAGTGAGCAATTAGGGTTTGCAGTGCACTGCCTGGAAATGTGGTGGAGGCAGTTTCAACTGAGAGATTCAAGCAGGAGATTGGCACCAGGTAAAAGAACAGGTGCAGGCACGATGGGCAGAATGGCCTCCTTCTGCATCATAACAAATCTGTGATTGATTGAAGTGCGAGTATAAATGAGTGTGAATATGTTTGTGTGCCTTAGTGTAAGTGATAATCTGAGTGAGTGTCTGAATGTGCGTGAATTTGAAAGTGTGTGAATGCAAGCGTGAGTGTGATTGAGTGAATGCTAGTGCGTGAACATGTCTTCGTGTAGATGTGAGTGAGTGAATTTATGTGGATGAGTGCATGTAAGGAGGCGGGGCCACACCTCTTTTCATGTTCGAGGGCATGTTAAATACCTTGATATTTTGTCTCAGATATGGGTCTCCTCATCCAGCACCAAATCTAAATCTGGAGAAAACAAAACCTTAGCACTTTTCTTCAGTAAGGTGGAAGAAAAAAAATGAAACACGAGGGGGAAATGAGCTCTGAAGAATTGCTACGATTGTCAGATGGAATTTTTCCTGATGCACCATTTGAAGACATTGCCTTGTGTTCTTTCGTCCAGTAATCTCAGATTCATCTCATGTGCATAGCTTCAAAGCTCCCAAAGCCTTCCTTGCATTCCCTCGCCCGCTCCCAACCCCCAGCCTGAACGTAGTATTTAGATCACAAGCTGCCTTAAGGTCTGTTGCTTTACAACTTAGCAGCCGCAGCAGATTAGATCCCAGTAGCGTCTAGCTCTGCCGCTGCTGCTGCCGCCGCCGTACAATACAACCTCTTCCCTTGTTTACTCGCTAAGATTAATGCTCTCAAAGCTTCTCCCTCCCCACAAAGCGGCGTTTTTATCTGCCATCCAGACAGGGCAGTGGAGGGGAAGGGAGGTTGAAAGGTGGATTGCAGCTTAACGTCCAAGGCATTTTTAGCCAGGAAAATACCAGAGTTGGAACAGGACCTACTCAATTTATCTCTTTGGGCAGCGCCTTACGTCACAGACTGGTTCACTTTACAAGGAGGGAAGCGAAATTAAAGAGTGTCTCTGTAGAAGTTTCATTTTAAAGAGGTGAAATGTCACCTTTGGACATGCGAGGAACTTTTCCCAGACCTTGTTAATTTAATAAAATACAAAGGTGACAGAGGATCTTCCCAATTCAGAGCAATCCTAGAACTTTGCAGCTTTGTGCTGTCAAAGCAATTACTCATGCGGGAGATATAGAACTTTTATTTATATTTTCCTTCCCAATAATTAATGTGTGTTAACCCCCCGTCCCTCCTGTCCTCCCAAATTGGGTTCAAGTGATTGTCCCTGGCACCTGTTAGATTGGCACATTGCCTGGGGAAGCCTTCTCCTTCTCTCCCCCCTGTGGCTGGTCTGCTCAACTCTCTCAACCTCCCCCACACCAGCGCTTTGTCATCAACTTTTTTTTCAATCCCTCTCTCTCTGCCTTCTCTTTTTTTCTCTCTCCCTTTCCTGCTAAAGTGCCCGTCACAGATCAGGTCATCTGCAGTTTTAGCAGCAAAAGAGAAAAAAGAAAGGAGCTGGAGCGGTTGGTGTTGGAAGGGGGGGAGGACGAGGAATGAGAGAGATGGCGATCCTGTAAGATCCCTGCAGACAAACCCATGAAGGAGGAACTTTCAACACAAGGGCAGCCAGAGCAGAGAGCGAGAAAAGAGAAAGAGACGAGGAGCCTTGGGCTCGCAACGGGAGAAGAGAGAGAAGGACATCTTGCTCCTTGTGTGTAAGTGAATGCTGCCGGGATAAGACTGCTCCTCCAACTTGCCAGTGCTTATTAATGAGAGCCGAGCTTGCATTGCATGTCTCTGTGTTGTATTAATGTGTGACTCTGCCTTTCTCCAGTGGTGGGGGTGGCTAGTGCTTGCGAGGGAAGGCAGCTCTGGAGGACTAGGAGCGCAGCCAGAGCCACATCTTTTCAACATTTCTCAACATTCCCTCTTCCCCTTGCATGGATCTTGTGCTTTCCAGGAAGAAGGAGGG